CCCCTGTAACCCCCCCGCTACCAACACCTTGTCACACGCACCCAAACCCTTTACAGCCACTCACGTTTGAAAGAGCAGACAGCAATAAGTGAGATAGCACAAGTAGTCAATGAGGAACTGATTTTTACATAGATAACCTCTTTGGAAAGTGAAGCTCCTATGTTTGTAGGATCCTGTCATCCTGACTGAAATTCCTAGGCGTTATCACAGTCAAAATAGTACCACAGAAAATCAACAAGAAAATACTTTTCAGCTGGTTAACAAGAAGATATACTAAGATATTCAGCAGAAGAGTAAGGCTTGTGTTTTCAGGCAAAACAGATACGCAAAACAGATTTACAAAAATCACAGTGGACAGAATACATAACAACTTTACTATTAATCTGAAAGCTTGCAAACAAGCTATAGTCCAATAGCTATTGATGGAAGTGAGTAAAAATACCACTGACTGGAAAAAAGAAGAAGAATTTATTCACTACCTAAGAAGGGACAACATCCCTTGGATATTTATTTGATATTAATCCCTTATTCAGCTCTGATGAAAATCACACATTTAAAAAATATACAGACTTCTTTCTGCTGCTATGGTAGAAATGACTAAAGGGTTGTTTTGGAAGATGTGGAGACGTATTTTGCTCCTTGTGTTTTTATTATTATAGCTGTTTTTATAAAATCTTTTTGGTTTTCTCTTGATAAAGACTTCATAAAATAATGACAAGTTTCATTTATGGCCATCTTTACTTCTGTGAAGATGAAAACAGCTCAGCTTGAGGAAGAACCTTATAGATTAGCAGACCTGTGACAGTTGGGAACAGTATTCTTAGGTCTCTCTCTCTGGATATGAACATATATAGTTCATAGTGAGAAGGGGTTTTTTTCACTGTACAAGTTGCCAAATAGCTGCTTGTCAATTTATTATTCATTTGACTTTGCAAATCTGAGGCATAAAAGTTGAAAAGGATCTAAGTAGTCATGTACATCAATAAATACCTTGCTAACCGCTGATGACATATTTACCAACATTATTGATATTGATACTTAGGCAATAAATAAATATTTCATTGTTTTCTGATACATGACATACTGCAATTTTAAACTTCATGCTGCCAAAACCACTTTTTGGACTTGTCATCACATTAGACATCAGAGCACTTTTTGGCTTCTTGTCAAAGACATAGTACAAAATCAGTAAGAAACTCCATCGTGTTCAGGCTGCTTCGCTGAGGGTGTAGGGCCTCTGACAAACAGGCAGAGTCTGCCAACATCCACATAAATGGAAGTGAAAAATTCCCTAGAAACATTTCTGAGTTGGGTTCACATTCTTTCATAACATTTGTGTCAATCTCTTTTTTCCCTTTTTCAAAAAATGCTTGGAGGCACAGCTATTTTGCACACTATGTAGATACTGACCTTTGTTAAAGTGTGTGAGCTAGGAATAAATATTCGTTTTATTAAAAATTCCATTAACTTCCATCGTTTTTTATTTCATTTCTCTGAAATTGTAGTTTTTAAATACAAAATGAAGGTGGTGGTGTACTGAAACTGTATATTAACTAGCAACTTTTGGATTCTTTCTGCAACTTGTAGATGAAGGGAGAGAACATGTTAGAAAAAAGACAAAGAGGGAATTGTGGAGAAAGGGCAAAAAATTAGGTGTAGAGATAAGAGGATAAAGTGAAAGACACCAGGTGTAAGTCCATTTCCTGTTGGTTTTCCTGGCACCTGAACTCTGCAATGAGGGTGCCCCAGATTTGCTGAACTCCATACCAGCCCAGAGGTAAATGCTGTCACCTGAAGGAGCAGGTGCTTTGTTCTTCTTGACAGAGACAGGGTGAGATGAACTCTGGGGATCACAGAAGAGTGGAGAAAATCCTGTGCTATGTTATCCTATCCTATTGTTAGTGTTAGCAGTATTAATCAGGTGTATTATTTGTATATTGTACTAATATATCTAACATCTAATGTTTATTCATATATGTAAGTATTAATATATGTATAGACAATGTGTATATAAACAACATTTGTATCATCCTCGCCAGGAGTGTTGTGCTTGAAGGAGTATGATTCCTTAAATGACTACATGAACAGCAATTCCACTGTGCTGCAAAATGTGTTAGAAAGAGTCAACTAGACCAGCAAAATCTGTTGTCCTCAAAGCCATTCATTTAGGAACATGCAGCTGTTTTGCTGAGAAAGCACAAGAGACAGATTAGGGAGATGGTAGGTGGAAAGATGTTCCCCATTTTGAATGATAACTTTGTTTTCTCTTAGGGGATACGGCATTGGCGTAAGGCTGATTGATGATTTTTTAGCTCGTTCAGCTGTGAAAAAATGCCGCAGTTACTCTGAAACTGCAGACATGATTGCACAGGTAAATACAATTCACATTGTCTAGAGCTTAAGCTTCAACGGTTTTAGCTTTTCTCTCCTCCTCTATCAGTTTGCTCCAAAGCAGTTATCTACATTTTCTGCTATATCGTGATGATCTTGTCAAAACCCACTAATCTCCACAACCACACTCCTGCTTCCATTGGGTGAAACATACCCTTTTCCTTATTTACAATTTCATATCAGATAGTAGCTCACAGAGGTTGGCCTTGAGAGGAGGCATCAGTTTCTATCTCTGTAGCACGGTGCTACATCAGGCTGGGAAAAAATGAACATTGAAGAGAACACAAAAAATGTGATGTTTAGTGAGATTAGAATTTTGCAGATGGTCTTGATAAACCCACGATGGTTAAGTTTATCACAAACGGTTGTCAGAACCACAGAAGTGGTTCACATGGGTATTCGTTTTGTATCTGGGACAGAGAACACAAGGGATACCACCTGCAAGAGGCTGTCTACCCCGACCTAAACTGACCTTAAAGTCAGTTGCTAAACTGAAATTAAAATTCTTCTATTCGTAGTAGCCTATGAGCATTCTGCCATTAGAAGCATTAAAGTTTCTTTTTGTTTGCTGCAGCTTAAGGTGGTTTCTTCTACTCTTGGCAGAGAATGCATTGAACAACAGAAAACGATCCAATTTTAACACACTTCAAATCATATATTCCCTCACTTTTTTTTTTTTTTTTTTTTTTTTTTTTTTTTTTTTGGAGCATAAGCCTTAACAATCTCATATAAATCTTAAACTTTAATATTCTTCCTCTTGCCATCTGAATCTCCTCAGGATCTCCATAATTATCTTAGATGGTTTTTAACTTTAAAATGGTAATATCAGGAATAAGCTGCAGGATATTCTGCAAAAGGAATACTCGATGGTAGCAGAGAAGAACTGTAAGAAAGGAAAATGAGAGGACTACCCGACTACTCACAAATCTAATAATAAAATCAAAAAGATAAAAGCAGAGTGAGCACTTTCACCTTCTTTGATGGAAATTTCCCTTTTATTGAGTAGTTATTTGCACTCTGTCAGGCAAGAAAGACCTAGCAGGAAATGTAGTGGCAATACATGGGTTTCTAAAGATGTATTTTTGCCCCCATGGGCAAGTCAGATTTCCTGGGGAAGCTCAAAGAGAAATCCATAGGACGTCCAGCCCCTTTAGACTGCTGAGTCACAGTGTCACGTGTTGAGACAGGGCCGTCCAGTAACAAATGACAGACAGGAGGTGGTAGTTCATAGATACTGAGTTGGCTCAAACTAATACCTGCATGATCCCTTTTATCTCTTATGATTTTCAGCTATGATGTGTTGCCAGTGAAGGTATGCCTGGCTGTTCCCAATGGTGAAAATTAACCATGCTTTAAAACAAAGAACTATTTGCTACGTATTTGTTCATTTTAAGAGGAGAGATTAGGGCATTAGTTAATTGAACTGAGATTCATTTCCATTGGCTCATTGTAGGAGATAAAAATATGCCTGGTATACTTTTTGATTGTATTTGAGAATTACCAGCAGCATCAGCTAAATGTGAGCATTATGTTTAACCGCTGCCTGCAGATCTAGGAAACAGCAGGCTTTCTATACAGTGAAATAAGGCACCAGTATATACTGGTTATACAGGAGTATCTTAGTTCAAAGTGTACATGGATGTTATCAGGTGATGTGTGATCCTGCTCACATTAACCATGTCAGGAATACCTACATTACATCTGACTGAAATGGAGGGACAGAAGTTATGCTGGCATTCCAGAATGCTTCTCGTAGAGGAACTGATGACTGTCACAGAAGTAGAGAAAGGACATCTTTACATGTGCTGTTGCTGGTAGGGCTATAAAGTGCACGTGTGCACAACATACACCATGATGTGCCAAAGTTTAAAGCAGAAGCAGGTGACATTACTAAAAGCCAGCCAGATCCCATTAACTCATAAAAGAGTGGAAACTAAATTTCTTCCTGAAGTAAAGTGTATTTTGGAGTCTCAAATCAGGTTGATGTACAACAAAGCTCCTCCTTTGGAGGAGCTGAGGTGGGGTACAGGATCTGTTAGAGATAGTGAGGGCAGCTGTATGAGAACCATGAGACAAACAGTATTTCAATCACTGTATTAAAATACATTGTCTCTTTAAAAGAATGATACCAGGCTGCAAATTCATGGATTTTTTTCACTTTTAGGTTCTTCTTCAGACGGTATTTGTACTTTATATTCTCTGGATTCTCAGGCATATGACAGATATCTGGTTTTCTGGGTCTTATTCCTCATGGTTCCCTTGTTTACAAATGCATGAGTACAGTTGAACCATCGTTCTTAAGTACAGGGGATTCATCAATAAAATACAGCGAGGAATTAACCATCAAAGTAAGAAAAAAAGTCACTATTTCTCTTCAGGTTGTACTTCAAAAGAGACTGAGAGAAATAAAATGACTTGGAAAGATTGGAACAAACTTTAAAGCACACGGTCTCTTGAAAAGACTATTTTTAACAAACTAAAAGGAGTTCTGTAGTAGGAGTATAACCTTCTGAGGCAAAATGTGATATGGAAAGCATTTTCACATTTCTTCGGTAAAATGTTTTTTGAATAGTCTTCAGGCACATTTGTCTGAGGCATATACCAGCAAAATATGTGTAAAATGACACAGCAAGTAACTGCAAATAAGCTCTTAAAAAATATGCAGTTCAGAACTACACAGCTGTTTACATGATCTCTTTAACTCTTCAGCAGCAGTGTTCTCAGCCAGGAGATAAATACCTAACTGCACTAACTCTTCTGAGGTAGAAATCTGTTTGAGAATGAGTGTGTAGAGTAAAACCAGTTCAAAGTTAAAATAATTATGGCAGTTAAGCGGTTCAAGTAGTTAGAGCCAAACATCCTGTAAACATAGCTGCTACCCTGCAGTCCTTTGGAAAGCAAAGGAAAATTCTGTAAGATCAGGCTGTGGGTGTTCCCTGTGGAAATGGAAAGAGATGAAGCAAAGCAAAAAAACCCATAAAATGAGGAGTACAAAGCCAGCTTACCAAAGCCAGTGTACCATATTAAGAAATAAATACTGGAGGAAAGGTGCACCTAAGGCAGTGACTGAGAGCTTAAAACTTCAACCACTGGTTCAAACTGCAAAACCTGGGATTTACTGCTATATTACACTGGACTGGAGAAGGGCCAACAAGTTTTGATGATAAGCCACAGTGAGTCTTTCTACACTGTGTTCCCATGGTGCTCAGTGATGTCTTGTGTTGGTGCTGTGACTTTGCGTGGTTACAGTCAGGGTTGAATAAAAAAAAGATAAAACAGGCCATGTAAAAGTAGGCTTTGTGCTCACTGGCGAATCAGGCTAAGAAATGGAAACCAATTGAGGAATGGTATTAAGAACAAAGCTCAGCTGAAGAAGTAGTGTCCAAGACTGGATTCAGAATTTGGATCGAAATATAGAGTTGAAATGAGGGTGATAATTTTGCTCTATAATCCTATAAAATAAAATTTTTACTTCAATTCCTCCTCACAAGACTTTTAGCATCGTTGATGTGATTGAAAGAGATGCAAAAAATAAACTGTTTCTGGTTTTAGATCTAATCCTAGAACAATGTTACCTTCTATATCTCAATGTCACCATGCCCCAGGAGGTGTCTGTGTGTGCTACAGGTGGGAGCAGCTGGGCCGTGCCCTCTGGTCCGCAGTGAGCAAGTGCTGGCTCACAGGCTCCATAGCTGTGTTAACACAGTGCTGTGCCTAAGGATATATCCCTTGCTGAAAAGCAGTGGCTGGAGAAATGGGATTTATGGTGGAAGCTCCGTACCCCATGAATGCAGCAAACGTACGTCTGTGCATCTGCTTGTAGAGAGGCCCTTGGGGACTGCCAGGGCTGGGTAATGCAACCTTGTCACCCCCAAGCCTGGAGCTGTAGGGCAAGAGATGTGACTCCCCTTCCCATGGGAGGTCCTGCCACACAAGGTCCCTATATATTGACATATGGCCAGTTTGAAAGTCTGACAGAAGCTGGCAGAATTTATGAAGCTGGTAAATGTTGCTGTACAGCTGTCATCGGTGAGAGGGGAATGCATAAAGCAAGTTGCTGCGCTAAGTGGTAGACAGTAAACTGAAAAATCAAGTGCTGCACGTAAAGAGTAAAGAAAAGTTTGTGAGTATATGGAATCAGCAACAGATGGCAAGACCTTTAAAGCATCTTGCTCTTTCAAAACACTGACTGTGGAAAAGTACTAAGAATGAAAAGTATGCCTCCAAAAATGTTATTTTGTCTGCCTTCCCCCTTCTAAGCAGATTAATTCTGGTCCTTCATGAATCTTGTTATTATGTCATCTGAAATTATGGTTTCAATTTTTTTAACAGTCTGTATTATCACTTACTTTGCAACATTACTTTTACATACAGTGTTTGGTAGTAAAAAGTCCCCAGTAGTGTATAAAGGGACTGATAAGTTAGTGGCCTCCTAAATATTTCAGTAATTCTAGAGTCTATTTGAGTACCATCAAAGTGTTAATGATTTTTTTTCTTGCTGCCTGAGAGAGATGGGATGCTGGTTGAGACTCTGAAAAAGGGCAGTGGTAAATTTTTAATTCTTACTGCATAGATTTCTTGTTTGACGTTAAGCAATATATAAACCCATAGAGTTCAAATAACATTTTCAAAAGAGATTTTGCTTTATATGCGTGTCATTTTGATGGTGAGCCTATGTACATGTCTAAATATTCTTTTTTCTTCCATTTCATACAGAGAGGAATGAGACAGTTTTATGCATGCAACTTTCAGTACTGCTCATTTGTTTTTAACTCCCTGTCCTTTGGAGCCACAAAGAAAGATTGAGAAGACCTTTGTTTTACCCTCTGAGAAGTTGTGTATGTGTTTTAAAGGAATATTCTGTCCAGTCATATCCTGTTTTTTTAAAAAATCTTCGTATCTATTAATTGAATTACTTACCTATGTACTTAAATTATTTTTTCTGCTGAGACTTTTTTACAATTGTCACTTTATAGCTTTGCAATTTTGCCTTAATTTGGTGCTCCATTGCAAACCAGCCACTGGTTTTGCATAGTTTCCGTGCAAGTTCTCTTTTACACAACAGAATTTGTACAGAGTCATCATACCTTAATGCAAAATACAGCTGAAACTAAATTGAAAGCATATGAGGCCCTAGCATGGTTAACTAGTTTTTGTTCTGGTAACAAAGACTTGAAGTTTGACGGAGCAGCAGATGTTAAAGAAGAGTTAAGAGAATTTAAATTAGAAAATTGGGTTCTTGCAGAGCATAAGAAATAGTAAACTGAGGGACAAAGCACAGAGAATTGTGCTGAAATGTCCTTTTATTTGTGCACTCATATTTTGATGGACACCAGAGTTAACGCAAAATCAAAATTTTCCAAGAAAAAATGTTGACGCTGCTGTTTGTTTGTTTTTTTCCAGTTTGATTTGGATAGTGTTGACAACAGTCTTCATGTCTTTCTGAGCTGCCATACTAGCTGCTGAACTTTAATTCAGGGACAGTGTTGATATGAGACAGCTTTTGCAATAGCTGCTTGAAGGACAGGGTTAAATTTGCCAAAACCAGATTTCAGTTGAAAACATAGGGTCAACCCGGCTTTTATTTTTGTCTGGTTTTATGGAAGTATTCCAGCATCCACATGCCAATTGCATTAAGTAGCAGGCGTTTTGGTAAGACAACACGGTTAGCTAGCCCTTGGAACGACGGTCAGTGAGAGACTTGCGCTCCTACCAGGCACGCGTTGCAGAACAAAGTGTTCGGCTGCTGCTCTTGGAGGTGGAGACACTCTCAACATGAGTTATCTGTGATCATGAAGCAGGGTAAGGATGAGGAGAGGAGAATGCACCTTAATTTTGCCCCTCCACAGTAAATAAGAAGGCCAGGCTGGGAAGCACTCCTGTTTCAGATGGTCCTGGCTACTCGGGTGCAGAGCTTTGAGCTTTCTCCTGAGGAAAAAGAAGGTGCCAGAAACCCAAAGTGGGATCCCTCTGTCCTCCCCGCTTTCCCTCTGCCAACTATAGTTTTGCCTCTATGTCCCAGCTCCCACTGTATCACAGTGGAGAGAGACCTCATCCTTACATTAACCCACTTGTTTCCCGTATTCCTGGGTCAGCTCATTAAATTAATGCCCTCCCCTGTGCATCCCTACTTGCTTTGGTTTTCTGTGGTACCAGTGAGGAAGAAGGTGGAAAGACAGCTTTGGGAAGGGAGGTTTGGCCCAGGTAGTGGGGACATCCTGTTACGTGGTGTCTCTTCTCCTCTTGCATGCAGGGAGGAGGTGAGATGGGGCTGGGCAGTAGGTGTTGGGGCATCTCTCATAAAGAAACGCAGACAAATGGGAAGGGGTGTGTACCTTGGAATTAGATCGTTATTGTAACAGGAGAGGAGCTTGCGGAGAAAAATGTATACGTGCCAGACATGGTGTCAGACCTGCCTGCTGTTGTGACTTTCATTTTGGCAGTGTTGCCTCTGCGCTTTCAGCTGCAGCAGGTACATTTAGGCATATAACATGTTCTAAGTCTGCTTCAAAGTGGGTCAGCTGGGATTAAAAACTTTAAAACGTCTGCTCAAGGGCCACAAGTTCTTCAAAACACACAGAGAAGAGTCTAAGCAGACAGTGGAATTAGCTCTTGGATTTTATTTTAAAAAAGAGTAATGGTCTGTAAATGCAGATAGATGTGGGTTTTCTGCTGAAGAAGCACAATGAGTATGAGAACAGCTGGGCAGAGTACCCTGGGTTGTTGATAACAGCCTGATTCAAGCAGAGCAAAAACATGATTCTTTGCAGACTCAGGGAGACTGGCAGTAAAATGCTGCATAAAACTTACCCAGTCACCCCAGAGAAAGAAACTTGGCAGAAGCTTTGTTCTCCTTTTATACAGTGTTTGCAAAGACTCTGGACACCCTGTGTGAGAGCCACGTGGTGAATTCCAAGTGGGTGAGGTAAAGTGTAGGGCTCTGGGGTGAAACGCATTTGTCAGAAGCACTGATTGTGCAGTTGCCTCACCTGCATTGCCTGCTGGTTCCTCTTGCTCCAGAAACTAGGTTTCCTAAGAGATCCAGAAAAATGAAATTCAGCCTGCTGTAAAAATACTACCTTGTCTTAAAATGTGGAATTTCCTTCCAGGCCCTCTGTCATAGACTGGCTGCAGGCCTGTTATGAACAATATTATATAGCTCTACAGGCTGCATCCCGTGCCCAAACGCTACTCAAAACAGGAGCTTTATACCCACACGAAGAGAAATTCTCAGTGGGAGAAGACAATCGCAAGTACAATATGGAGGCAAAATATCAGTGATGCATTTTCATTATTGTAACAAAACACTAACAACAATGTGTTATGTTTCAAAATAACTTGTTATTTTTTAACAAAACCACAAAAATACTGAGCTACTTGGTAATTTCAAGTTCTTGGTACCTTCCACTTCAGCTGTAAGACCCTGGCACCTCACTGTCAATGGAGGTCACTGCCCCATGTCCCAGGCAGATGTCTCAGGGACTAGAAGACAAGGGCTGATCACTGTGACCTTCTGTGGTGTTCTAGCTGCAACGGGAATCCAAAGACACTGAGATGCCTGGAGTGACCACAGGTGTCTCAAAACAATGCTGTACCTGCAAATGGCCTGGAAATGACCTGGAAGCAAAACTTTACTTTCTGTGGGCTGTCAGAAAGCCAGACACATCTTCTATTATTATATTCACTCTTTTTGAATTATGTTACTTTACAATAGTATCTTGATTTACATAGGACAAGCATACTATAGTTCCTTTCACATAGCATATTTTTAAAGACCTTTTGTCATTTCATCTCTTTTTGCTGTCAGCTCTTGGTCCACAGCCAGCAACATTAGTTGAGCATGAACCCTACGTGCCAGGGAGGGCTGCAGCCTTTTCACTGATGGTAGGGAAATAGTTTCATTCCATCCTTTTGGAGCAAGTTTGTAACTGGGAGGGAATGTGATAAAGAAGAGGCCATTGTGAAAAAAATACAGACATGAAAAGAGATAGAAGTATGCTATATTGTCAAGATACAAAAAAGCTGAAAAAATACATATTTGATCTATGGTATTTCCCTTCTATCTACAAAGTCCAGCGTTGTCTCTCTTTCCTTATTGTTTTCTTTCTGGCCTTCTTCAACTAGCTTGTGAATTGTGCTATAATGCTGTTTGCTGTTGCTGAAAGAGTAGATCTCGGAAGCATCTTCCCATGCCTGAAAAGCTGGCAGGGGAATTGCTTCTGGTTCCTTGTTCTCAAAAAAGCACTTCAGGTTTCGCTCGCTCAGCTTGGTGGCATACAGCTGAAAAATCTGCTCCAGTTGCTCCTTCTCCTTCTCCGCGTAAACCCTCCAGAACATCAGCTGAAGGTGGCTGACTTTTGACTGGCAGCTGGCACAGCAAGTGGTTAGCAGGGAGAGAAGAGCTGTGGTAACTATCACACACCAGCCTAAAATCTAGGAAAACAAAAGAAATGAGTTTCAGGTTAAAAAGGCCCAAGTGAAAATGCTACTTAAATCAAGAGAGTCTGACAGAGCAACCACACTGTGTACAAAGGGCCTGCCGCACTTCTTGGAGCCCTACTGTGGGTGTCTCATCCCAGTCTGCGTTTGGTGCCTGCCATTAGTGTCAATGGGGCATCCGTATGGGGACCAAAGGGAACCAGAAGACATCAGGATTGAGGCTTGTCAGTAGCACTCATTTTGATGTCTCTTTCTCAGGAAGGTAAAACCAGATTGATTCTTACAGTGGAAGTAAAACGCTCAAGAAAAGTTGGCTTATGCTAGAATCTGGCTGCTTCCCCTTCCCATTTTGTAACAAAGGGAACTCAGATAACCGCAGCTGAAGAGACATGTCCAGCGCAATGGCAATGGCAGGTTCAGGGACAGATGATCTCGAATCAGACCTCAACTACAAGACTGTGTATGAAGAAAAATCTAAGAGAGGTCTAAATGATTAATCAAATAATGTTATGGCTGAATAGAGCTATATAGAAAACAGAGCAGACCTGAGAGCAGTAGTAGCGTCTGAGTAATTTCGAGAGGATATTGGTGAGAGTTTATTGCGAAACTATAACCATCTGGCGTGTAGCGTTTTGGAATTGCTCACTGAATTCTGTCACACAAAAGGAAAGGTGCGTAGGGAGAATATAATATCACAATGGTTTTCTATCTCCTGAAAACGTTAAATAAAAATTACTCAGCAAGAATTAGGACACAATCCTGAACTGTGATGAACTGCAAAACCGAAAAGGGTAAGTAACTTTTGTCCCAAATAGATCAACCTTTTAAACTATGACTATTTTCAGATGTGTTTTTTTCAGACTTCTTTTTAATCTAAAAAAAGAAAAACCAAACCAACAACTGCATTAATTACCTAACAGGAATATAAAAGACAGTCTTAAATTTAAAAAGCGTTCCCCAATTCTTTTACCAGAAGATGCACTGAAATCTACACAGTTCTTGTGAATTTTTTTTGACTTTGATGAACCAGCCATTTGTAGTGGAAAATCATTTTTATGCCAGAACTGGTTTAAAATTACCTTCTTGCCCAATCCTGTGAGAATTCTGGGAGGAGAGGGCATGAGAAAGAAGAAATAGCATGTGCATTGGCAGATCTGTTTTGGCACTAAAACAGAGCGCACTTCATCTACACACTGATTAAAAATAGTTGCTGTATTTTCAGAGAACTTTGTTTTTGCTGAAATATACTTTTCCAGCATCACTCAACTTTCTTTGTAGCAACTTCAGAGTTTGACAAAATCCTGTTAAGAGCATTTTAAAAGAAAGAGGTACTTCCAGGATTAGAGCAAGGGCTGAAGGTGGGAAAATGTGCTTGAAATTGTTATCGTGGGATGCTCTCCTCTAAGGAGAGCAGAGATGTGAACAAAATTTTTTCATGTGTAGTGCCACTGGCTTAGCCAACAGTTTTACCCACCTACTTCACTGCAATGTGTAATGTTTGCAAAAAAAACCCCAACAACTTGTTTTCACAGTGACAAATTCCAGTGTGGAACAAATCTTCTAGGTTTCAGAGACCCATATGAAGTGGAACTGATTTCCCATGCTTTAATGGTGATGATATGGAGAGCTGCAGCCTTTCTCATGTGAACTCTTGCACTGATGTTAAAAAAATAACCACCAGAAAAAATCTGTATTTAGCTGAGGGATTATAGAAAGTTTCCTCAGGGATGTGAAACAGAGAAGCTTGACAAACAATTATTTTTAGGGACTGGTATGGAAGAATACCTTTGCTTTCTTTTATTTTTTTCCAGTCACTTTGTACTAACTGATGGTTTCTATGGGTATTTGAGAAACTGCTCATTTTAGCAGCTTTTCCTTTCTTGCAGCTTGGTGAATGAACCTGTGTGTGCTCATGCTATAAGCTGAGTCACTGGTCTTTCACTATTTCCTGTATATACAATTTAAAGTCTTAAGCACTATTTGTTATGTCCTTCTAAAACTCTCAAATACATTGCTTTGTCTGCAGTGCAGGCTTTGTCTGCATTCCAGTCGTATTTGCATGAGGATTTGAAAATAAAACCAGCTCTTGGGGAGGAAATGGTTCCAGATGGATACAATCATCTGGCAAAAACATGCTGGCTCCACAGACTGTTTTTCCCTGCTGACAATAATTTTTTCATAATTTTCTGTAGCCTTTTTTTTCCTTTTTTTTTCCCTTTGTTTTGATTTTTTTGTCTCTGAATTTATTTATGTTATGAGGCAATGAGCAGAACTGTATCACATGAATACAGTAAAATGTAATATGATCTCAGCTTTGCATGCTCTGCTTGTTTTAATTTAGTGTTTCTTCCTTCCTCTAAGTAGAACAAAAACATACTCTCATCTGGCATCATGAACATGAGGAACACAAACAGAAACACGTTGTGTAAGCAGTGACAAATTTGCCACAAATCTTACTTTCCAGTATTTTTCTACTGTTAGTGACCTGAGATTTCATTACAGTTACCATGATGGTATAGAATAGGAGAGTGTGGTATGAATTTTTTAACAGGACAGATCCCTTTAATGGGGTGACACCTGTCAATTCAACCTCCTAAACAACCTGGTAGTTTTTTTCTCTTTAGAGCAATTTTCATCCAGGAAGAAAGCTTAAAGTTATCTACTCTTACAGATCCTGCCGTCAACAGGGCCCCCCCCGGAAGTATGGCACAGCCCAAATTGAACTAAAAGATGGATTGATTGTATTTTGCAAGCCTACATGTATTTTGCCAAAGCTTTGTTTATGTGAAACCAACGGTTTTATCTTAGCATCTGACATCAGTATCTTCCGCAGATAAATCACAGTGGCAGTACAAACTGCATAATGCTCTTTATTTATTTTTCTTACCTGGGACTGTGCTTGAAGAGTTCGTTTCAGTTCGTCACTCTCTGAAAAGGGCATGGAGCTTTTGTCACAGGCTACCTTGTGTAGCTCTTCAAAGCACGTTGCAGATTTGCTGTGGCAAACTGCATGTAAGTAGGCAGCATTCTTCAAGCCACTCATGGCACATTCGTAAAAAGTCCCGTTGAGCAAAGCCACAGAAAGCCACATCACTGGGGCTACCAGAGCATTTAAAGTGATTTGTCCGAAGACATAAAAGAAATGGCAGATATTCCCTCTGGGGAATATTTTTCTGGGGTTCACCCAGCAGCCTGTAAAGAGTTTCCAGGTCTTGCTGTTCAAGAAATATCCAATAACCAGCAAAACAAAAGCTGGGGAGAAGAGAAATACCAAACCGTACCTAAAGTTTTCGTTGCTGCAGGGGCATCTGAAAGCAACAAGAGAAAACACACGTTCACCTCCCATTGTCAGCAGTGCCATAAAACTGTAACCTATAGCGGTTTTCCGGTTCATAAAGAATTTCAGGACTGTTTGGAAACCATCCATGTTTGATACTCACTGAAGACGTAAAAATCAAGACACTTTTATCTTCAGTCGTAGCAGTCTGTAAGTGGTGTAGCAGGGGAGAGCTCTCCAGAGGAAGAACAGCCTGCTGCTAGCCTGCCTGCGTATGCGCTGTCTAGATAACGCCGTGATGTCACTGTCTGGAGAAACCCGCTCACAGGGGACCAACCCCTCTGCTAGTACAGCAGATGTTGCACATTTACAGTAACATTCATTGGTAATAGAAGGAAAGCAAGCACGGCTCTATATAATCAAATAAGCTTGCAGTCTTGGCAGTCTTATTCTTGGTGAGTTGTGGGGTCTTTTTTGCGACTGCAGATGTAGATCAGAGTAAAAACACATGCTCACCGGTTGCAGGAGTTCTTGAGCTATGACTATCAAAGATGCTCGCAATATAGTGAAGGACCTAATAGAGGTGCTAATAGTCCCAGGGGGGTGTGATGTGACTGAAAGCAGACAGTGATAACAGTAAAACCACTTTGTGTGGGGTTGTAAATGGAGGAACATCAAAGACAGAACAAGCAGCCTTCTGCTGTACTTCCCTGGAGTATCGCACAGCTCCAGATTTGTGTCTCTGGCCCAAGCTGATCAAAGAAGAGACAAATTTAGTTCAATTTCCAGCCTGTCTGGCCCTTCCCCCTATTTTCTTGGGGTGAAGCTGGTCTACAGGGTGCTACATCCTAAAGTTTCACCTCTGGTTTGCACACAACAGATCAAGCAGCAAAGTTCCATCCTTTTACAGGTTGCTTTCAAGATGTACCTTGGAGTCACCCCTAGTGTGAGCTGTAGTAGTGCCGCAGGAAATGAATTCTCCTTAATCCTGGACAAAAACCCGCTAGTGGACTTTGTGGAGGAGCTGCCAGCAGAACGAGCTTCGCTTTGCTACTGTAACGTCCTCTGCGGGGTGATTCGAGGTGCCTTGGAAATGGTAAGGAAGTGCACATCTGTTTTCTCCATTCTTTATGTGCAGAGGCACAGGCAAGCAAATCCACTTGCTCAAATAAATGAAGGAAGCTTAGTAATATTTAACCCCTCTTACAGATTAAATGTCTATGTCTAAATAAAAGAGCGCCAGACTGATCCTGGACCCTGAGGAAGAGAAGCACACGAGCTGGCTTACCTCCACGCTGTCCCTGCTTGGCTCTTCAGTGTCTGACTGAGGTGCAAAAGGCAGGTAGGACCGGGAAGCCAGCTAACGTGATGTGGAGAGCCAGGGGGGCATGCTGGACTTCTCTGCTTCTCCTTGAATCGATCTCATTTTCCTGCCTAGCTGTAACCAGTAATAGCCATCCATGATTCTTTCCAGATACATGAAGATAAATAACAGTCTCAGGTTACCGCAGCACCTGCTGAAAGTGAGAACAAAGTGTAGATGAGTATAATGTTAAAACCAAAGCATCAGAAGTGTATCAGATGGCATCTCAAATTTTGTTCTTAAATTTAAGACTTTTACAAATGAATAAACAAAGGGCATTATTTGAAAGTCACTGAGTTGTGGAACTTCTGTGGCGTTTTCTGGAAGATAACTTTTGGGCTGCTTTTCTGTCAATATCTAATTTGTCATATATCTCATATTTCAAGAAAACAAAAGCTGTACAAGTACTATGTATGTACGTCAGTCTCAGAATTATAGCATCTGATGTAAGACTAGTTAACAGAAGTGTTATGTTATGATTTTTAGTACATGACCAGGAAATTTTGTGATCACAAAATCGTGAAGTACACGATGTAGGTTTTTGGAAGAAAGCAAAGCACTGGAATGAAGGTTAATCTATAATACAAATTCCAGTGTATATAAACTTCCTTTTATTAACTTAGTTGGGAAAGATATGGTAAAACAATCTAGAAATCTGTTTATTGTCAAACCTGAGAAAGGGGGTCCCCTTGTGGTAAGAGAGAGAAAAAGCTCTTTATACTGGAGGGGGAAAACTGGGCATTTCTTTGCTTAACTGATCAGACCTGATTCTTTCTAGGTTCACTTAGCGGCAGAAGTTACCTTCCTCCAGGACAGGCTGAAGGGCGATGCTGTGACAGAAATAGGAATTACGTTTTTAAGGAAGGCTGAAGATAGAAAGCACAAAAGAAATAAATGAAAGAAATATTGGGAGAAACCCTTGCGGAGGGATGTTTTGCGCCTTTTGTTTCTGAAGGAGACATGCAGGGTAATTTGCTGAGCCAGCTGCACCAGTCATATATTTGAAAAGTGAAGAGAGCCAGCTGGCAAACAAGAGGGGCAGAGCAGGGGGAGAGCAACGTTAGTTGTCGTGACACAGATATCAGTATAAAAGATCAAAATGGCCTGCCCTTCCGTCTCGCATAGCCATGCTCTTGAGCTCAAGGAAAGTTTTATCTCAGTATTTAGTGCACGCTGGATGCAAAATATTCATTCCAACACCAACTGTTTTCAGCTAAACCTGACCACCTTTCCCGTTTTGTTTGTCAGTAATGTTTCAAAGCATGGTTGTTAAGAGGTGCTTTATTTCCCTGGCTGTTAGTGGTCAGGAATAATGAATTCATCCACTGTGACTGCTATGTGCAGGGTCTCGCTGTCAGGTGCCTGTTTTGATGTGTAATGATTTGCCATGCATTGTTGTCAAGGGTTAGGGCTGGGCTGGCCACTACTGAATGACGGACGCCCTCTATTAACCCCTCTCCTCTCCCAGAAGGGGAAGGGAGAGGGAATAAGAGAGAGAGACTTACGAGTGAGAAAAGAAAACTAAAACAGCTTTAATGAAACAGTAACAATAAAAAGAAATTATAATAATACTAATAAGAAAATGATAAAATATATACAAATATACACGAAACCAATACCCAAGCCAGCCCCCCTGATGACCATACCTCACCACTGACACTGCAGGGCTGGCACTGGGGAAGTCCCAGGCTGGACTCAGCAGCAGAGGGGAACTGGATTCAGGAGCTCAATTTGGGAACAGGAATGCAAGGATCAGGATTGCAGACAGAAGAATTGATGGAGTCCTCCTCAGATGTCAGCCATCGACGAAGAAGACTTAACCCTTGTGATCCCTCAGCTTTATACTGAATATGACGTACACAGGATGGAATACTTAGTTGGTTGGTTTTGGGCCACCTGTCCAGTTCGCTCCTCCCCACAGGTGCGACCTTTTTACTTCATTGAGACCCTTTTACTTACGGCATTTCAACATGGGGTACAGGATTTAGCAGTGACCTTGGTTGCTATAGGAGCCAGTATAAGCAAGAGCCTTTCTGCATACCATTCCTTGGTATTAACTGTAAACATCAAGCGCTATCACTGCTAGAAGCAGACACTGCCTGGAAAAACATGCTGTTAATACCAGAAAGTGCAGTCACAGAAGAGACTTAGCTGAAAAGTAAAATCACTGAATGGAATTGGTTTTGTTTTAGCTTAAACCAGGACAATTGTCCTCTACACCCGCCATCCTGCTGCCTTTGAAACCAGAGAAGGATGTGGCTTCACTGATGGCTGGTGCCAGTTTTGTTCCTTACAGCTCTTTCAGGCCCCACATGCAGTTTTGCTAGCATGCCTGTTCAGCCTTGTGCATACGTCAGGCTGCAGCACTCTGACAGCCATAGCGGTGCTTGTGTTGCTTCAAGCTATGGGTCTTTTCACATCACTTTTCTCTTCAAGAGCACTGATCTTGTGACCAAACTGAGAAAAGCATGGCGTATTTAATGTATAGTCACTGTGGATCTGTACTCATCTAAGGAAATGTGAATAAAAATTCAGAGATTGCACACAACTGGTTTGCTGGTCATTGTGTTTGCTCTTACCTGACTTTCATCACCGGCTGTTGAACATCTTTCCCTTGGCAGTGGACTTGTTACCACAACATGACCGGCAAGTAGAGAAATAGCAGCCTTGCAGAGACCTGAGTTACAGGAGAGGTTTAATGTTGTCTTGTGTAATGCAAGATATCTGGGTAAGGGCTGGACGAAACCCCAAGTCCTAGCACAGTACCCTACCCACAAAGTCAGCTCATCTTCTTCTCACCAAAGCACTTGCTTTAAACTGAAATTCAAACCCTCAATTCAGCTCAGTGAAGCCTAGAGTTACTCTGATTTTATTGCTGTGATTTATACCCTCATCTCCCATTTTTCCCTCAGTCTGTTTACCTCTTAAGCCTGAGAAGTGAGGGGCACGTCTTCCGTTGGGGAGAGCAGGGTTCATTCCCACCAGATCTGTACAGTCCTCACAATAATCTTTCTCCCTTTGTATGTCTTAAGTGTCGTACAGTGGTGGTGTAGTGTAATGGAGCTTTAAGGGAACAATTTTGTATGGAACAAAACCTCAGCTATTCATTACTCAGCCTTGGGCTCAGCCCAGATGTTGTTACCCGCTAGGAGTAAGGAGTTACAACACATAACAACCTGTTACAACCGGTAACAAACTTCACTACTTTTTTTTTTCCTTTTCTTTTTTTTTTTTTTAATCAAGGCTGAAAGGTCTTGTGGAATTTGCCTGATTTTACTGCTTATGCAGGAGCCCTCAAGGTTTTTGCTGATTATGCCCAGCTGGCTGACATGGTCATGTGGCGACTTCGGCTGACCACAGAAATGTTCTTTACAATGCAATGGCCATTTTTCCTTTTTCCAGCAACATCCTACCAACCCAATATTCTCCTCTTTTTATTATTACCTTGAAAGTGAATAACCTATACTATCCTTGTTTTATAAGATATAATTCTCTTATTTAAACCTCTGTTGCGTTAGACTTGCACATAGGTCAGCGCATGCACACACCTATGGCAGCATTTTCTGTTGAGGTCTGCATCAGCTAAAAAGCATCAGTCACTCAGTTGCAGGTTGACTCCTGTGTATTCAAGGCCTGTTAAAGAGTTTCTGCCTGCTGGCATTAGCTAACAAAGTCAGGGCTGGATACTACAACATTTTTAAAGCAAGTATCATTAGCATCATCCTGGGGACTTTGCAGTCTTGCCACACTGGCTTTGGTGTGGCCAAGGCTTTCTCCCTTCCTTCAGTGCCAGACATTTGCAGTGATGCTCCTTTAGGTTTCAGCGTTTCAGAATAAAAAGCCTAGGAAATATTTACTTCTACTCGGACACAGTAAGTTTTGAAGGATACGTTTCCACTGTGCGAATGAACATACAGCAGAAACGTCTGAGCCAGTCAAGGCAGCGCAGACTTGAGATTAAGCCAAGAGGTGACATGAGACTGCCAGACTAGGCTGGGTGCTGGTTTGTACTCATGCCATATTCCGCTTGTGCATCTGGTCATGCAGCAATCGCTTCTCTTGGCTGAGCTCTGTGCTGCGCAGACATGCTCAATGCACACATGTTTTGCTGTTAAGAGTTTTTATATTTTCCTCCTACACTGGATCACCTAATCCATTGTATTCTAAAGATGGAGTAAGTAAATATTAGGCAGAAAAACAGTAATAAACAATAGAAAAAACAGTGACCCACACTACATTACTGTTAGCTGCTGACATTAGCTACTCTGTCTATCCACATACAGTTTTTTGCTTGTCTTGCTTGGCAGCATATTCACAGAAGTGTGTTTCAGTGTTTCATTTTAGTCTAGGCCCTCCTTTTGAAGGTGTCTAATGGAGCACTCACAAGTGTGCTGAAGCTTCTCTTTGACATTTTATTTTGTTATAAATGTAATTACATACAGAAGATATGTTACACAAAGGTGAGGAAAAATCAAAATTCAATCATGACTACATACAAAACCAATATATAAATATCCACTTCTATCCTTATACATAGATACAAATTTTTCCTTCCCCCAAAACATACTTTATTTGTGAAAAGTAGCCTGCATCATTGCCAGCAAACTTGAAGCTATGTATTGCTGTCCCATTTGAAGCCTTTGCTCATTGATGCTAATTAGAAGTGTCAGCTCCGTGTCTTCCCTGGGAAGCTGAGGTAGCTTTGGTAACGAGGCTCTGGCAGTTGTGACCATGAGTAGGAAGTGGCAAAAGCCCACCCAGATGCAGCTGAAAGGATTAACATGAATTTTGAGGGCATTTTCACTGCACCTTCTTGTCAACAAATGAAATAAGGCATGGCTTGTTCCTGGAGGCTTTCAGTCTATCCTGAAGTATTTTTTTATATCTCTGAGGTAACACCTGGCCCCACTGCATCAAGGAACGTTTTGGCACTGATCGCAATGGGGCCAGGACATTGTTTTCTTCCCATTTTCGACATTCCGGAGTAGATGTATCTTACTCTAGATGTCAATGAACAAATGAACTCTTCAATAGAAGAGGTAAAATGGAACATTTTTGACTGAACCATGCTTCTGGGAGGCACAAGTAAGGAACTGGTCACTTGTTACTCTATTATCATCAGGTTTCTCAGAAGGAAAAGAGCACTGAGCAAGTCAGTGACTCTGTGACAAAATTAATGGTTTTAAAAATTCTTTTCTGCATACAGAATCAAATCTGGTTTTCCCTTTATGTGCTATATTTTCGGTTTATAACAAGAACGAAGCTCCCAAGCTAGTTATATTTGGCTAGTTAAATTAGCCTTGGAATTCCTTGGAAAATGACTGTAACAAACAACTTCATGGGATTCCTCTCTGTCTGTCTGAATAGTTTCCAAGTTAGAGTTTACTGTCTAGAAAGAGAAAATTTCTGGGAGGACAGCCTGTACCAAACAATCTGACTCGCCTATCTAAAATGCTCTCTAAATAAAGCTTTTCAGAGAAAAAACGGACTTTATTGTTCTTCATTCAAAACTGGTCTCTTTGTTTCTTACAATTAATGTTCTTTGATAAAAACATTATTATTTGTTAATATGTATTGCGGATTTATAATGTCCTTAAGTATGTATCGGGTCTATAAAGATTTGTCAATGTAAGTTTCATCTATATTGCCATGTTATGCATAAGCCTAACCCCTCAAGACATGTTGATTTGCACTTAAGAGTCCATTCTGGATCAAGTTAGTGTATTTGGCAGGGATATCCAGGTGTAGCTTAGGTGCTGATGCCAGGGCCAAACCCCTATATGTAATATTACGTATTAAACCCCATATTTTTCAGAAAAAAAATAGAAAAATAATATAAATTTAATATAAACAGGAGGTTTAATGTTGTGTTTTCCCTGCAGCATTCAAATGCCTATT